CGCCCAGAATCCCGGCACCCCAGCGCCGCGCGCCGGCGGCCGCATCTGTTTTGCCTTCCTTCGCGTATCATTCCTGTTCGTGCCAACCTACAGAAAGGCTCCAAGCCGCTGCCCGCCCCGGCGCGTCCCTCTTTCTCCTCTTCTTAGACCCGGCCGAGTTGTCTCTGGCCGAAGCGAAACAGCACACAGCCCCTAGCGTCTTTCCCTTTCTTTCCCGCTGGGCTGTCGCACATTTTGCTTCTTGGAGACGAGAGGGGTCCCAGGGTCATCATCCTAGGAGACTGAAGGGCCACAATTTCTGAGCGCAGCGTCCTTATTTGCATCTCATTTGGCATAAATCTGCATGTGAAGACCCAAGGTTTCCAATTACCAGTATGACATTCAGCAGTGGACCGGAATAGGCCCCTCTCCCAGGTTTCTGGCAAGCCTGGCCCCAGCCCCACCTCCTGGGGCGGTATGAGGTTGTGACACGAACGTCTGGCGTCTGTGTTCCCAGGTTGTGGGCTCAGACTGTGGCGGTGTCGCTTATCCACAAAACTGCAGCCGGGCCTTGCAAAAGGTAGAGACCCTGAGCGCATTTTGCGCCGTGTGTGGGCTTCCAGCGTCGGGCATGCGGCTTGGGTTTCGTGCGCCACTCAGCTGTCGGCACCGCTTTCCTTCCTGGCTGCCCAAGTTTGGGGCTCTTGCACTTTGAGAAGCACCTTGATCCTCCAAGCAGTGTGTCCATGCGCAGGTGGAGCGCCCTGCAGCCCACACACAGCCCTGAATCTGGGTCCAGGAGTCAGGGACAGGTCTCTGGGGACTGGTCTCCAGGTCCCTCAGCCAGTGCAAACACCACGCTGTAGTCTCAGTTGTTGTTTTTTGCAGAACCCGGGATAGAACTCAGGCCCTTGCTCTTGCCAGGGAAGCGCTTATTCCACTGAGCCATCTCCCCGGCTCCTGTAGTCTCAGTTTTTGAAACCTTTGTTGAGTCAACAGTGTGATAGTCTGGCCCAAGCAGGCACTCTCAGGCTTTGGAGATGGGTCACCCTGTGATACAGACCAGACCCAGCTCCAGGTGCTGCGCTAGTCCTGCCTGCTGGGCAAGGAGGTGCCCTGGAGTGGGCTGCAGTCTGTGCCAATCTGCCCCATCACCATCCCTGTGGGCCCTGACAGCAGCTAGCACTGCTGGGCTCCATGTCTGCCTCTTTCCACAAGCAGTCAAGCCTGGGACCCTACATTGCAGGGCAGGGTCTCCCCAATTTGGCCTCCCTGGAATGGACTCCCAGGCTGGGAACTGCTGAGCCTCACCTCTTGCATGCTGCTAGTGATACTAGGATGGGAGACCACACTGCCTGGAAGATGATGCCATCTGCTTCCCAGGGCAAAACTGCTGACCCAGGGACCCGAGCAGGGTTTCGGGGACAGTTGTGGGTTTGGGCTTCCATTGGGCCAGACGTTATGGGGTAGGAGCACAGTTCAGTTAAAAGAAGGCCTCGAGAGCTTCCCTGGGGAAGGCACTGTCCCCTGGCTTCTCGACCTCCCCATGGAGCTCAAGCAGACGTGCCTGCCCCAGGGCACAGGGCCAGGCTGACCCACAACTAGGCCTCTCTGAGACCACTGTACTACTCTCAGGAAAACAGCTGATGTTTCCCCTAAGGGCAGCACCACGGCACTCAGCACCCAGCTCCCAGCTCAGGGCTGGGACACGGACAGTAAGATGGTTTACCCAGGAGCCCTGAGCCGTGCCGCTCTGGTGGCCCACAGGTCCCCATATACTTATTTCCACTGGCCTGGTCTGCCTGACACCCAGGGAGCTTGGGGACTGCATATCCCAGAGTGGTCCTTGGTGGAGCAGGGATCCCCATAAGCACCGTCCTCTTCTCACTTTCAGTTAAGATTCTGGTGGCTGTGGCTACCCCAAAACATTCCTCCAGTTTTATCTAAAAATCTTCCACAGACGTTTATATAGCTTCCAAGAGCATAAAACCTGACACACCAGAAATACAAATAAAATGGTGGTTAATGGATTCTACACACGGTAAGAGCTGTGATGACCACTATGAATCATTTTGAAAATATGAGAATAACTTGTCCTTAAACATCTGAATTTTCATGCAGGCCCTTACCCAAAACGACGAGGCTTTGAGAGTTTTTTGTTTTTTTTTCCAGAACCAGGGATTGAATTCAGGCCCTTGTGCTTTCCAGGCAAGGGCTTATTCTACTGAGCCATCTCCCCGGCCCCATCCAGTGGGTTTTGAACATAACACCAAAAGCAAGATCTATGACAGAGAAGTTTGATGGGTTGGGTTTCGTAAAATTTGAAACTTCTCCTCCGCAGGAGATGCTATTACAAAACCCAGAGGACCAGCCAGGCCTGGGCAGGGTACTTGAGAAACTGTCTGGAAAGGGCTGTAACCCAGATGAGCAAGGAAGCCTCTATGCTGAGCAAGAAGATGCGGCCCCTGCGTGGGTGCGAGAGCTGGGCTGATGCCCACGGGAGCAGATACAGCGGCAGGCTGCCCATGAAGAGGGGCTGGGTCTTGCCGTGCCAGGCAGTGCAACTCAGATCTACAGACGTCGATGGCCCTGCCCATTGGACAACACACCCCAAGCCTGACAGCACTAGCTGTTGCTGCAGGAAGTTGCTTTGTGCAGTGCTGTGTGGAATCATCCTTCAGAAGGAGGTTTGGAGTTCATTACCAACCAAGTGTACCTCACATGCAATCCCACGCCCCTGCTCCTCAGTGCTCCTGAGCACATCCTTGAGAAGGCTGCCATGATGGAAGCAAAGGTGGAAAATACCCTAAATTGGAAGCAACGGGGTCAAACTCCAGTGGACAATTTAACAATCTGTGGGAATCAGACGAGGGCTGATTGTTAGTCACAGAAAGAAATGAGCTGTGAGCCACCAAGCAACTGGAAGGAAACATGAACACTCATTGCTCAGAAGCCCACCTAGAAAGCCACACTGTCTGATTCCACCACCTGCTGGGCTGCAAGAGGCTGAGATCTGTGGTGCCTGGGTTTGTGGGCAGGGTGGGCAAGTGGGTCCCAGGGCATCGGGCTGACACTGCATACATAGTGATGGAGGATACCTGTCATCATACAGTACCCAACCCACAGAATGCAGAACCCCAGAGTGAGCCCCACCACACATGGGGTGCATCCCTGTGACCCCAGCACTCTAAGAGCATCATGAGTTTGAGTTCAACATGGGCAACTTAGTAACATTGTGAGACTGTCTTAAAACAAATAAATAAAATGATGTAAACTGTGGGCTCTAGTTCATAACATCAAGTCTGCATCTGCTCCTGAAGTGTAGCCCAGCCCCGTTCGGGTGCACGCACTGTGGGGCAGTGGCAACAAAAACCAGGGTCTTGGGGACTCTGCATTTAGTTCCATTTTCTGCAAACCCAAAACTGCTCTAGAATTTAAATCTGTAGGCAAAAAAGCCCAGCAAACCAAACCACAGAAACAGACATTCGGGGACTGGTGAGATGGCTCAGTGGTCTAAAGCACCTACTTTAGAACAAGCTTAGCAAATCACAGGGACCGCGGTTCAATCCCCCAGCACCACATGCCAGCCAGCCCCGCCCCCTGGTGGGCTGAGCTGGCCACACACACACACACACAAATAAATAAATTTTTTTTTTAAAAAAAGAAACAGACATTCGATTGATTGATTGATTGATTGATTGATTGATTGTCTTTTTGAGATAGGGTCTCACTTTGTAGTTCAGGCTGCCCTCGAGCTCACTATGTAGCCCAGGCTGGCCTCAACTCACAGTGATCCTCCTGCCTCAGCCTCCTGAATACTGGGATCACAGGTGTGTGCCAGCACACCCCACTCAACATCTTTAAATATCACATGCTAATGCCATGGGGTCTGAGTGGTTGAAAAGCACCCATGACCCCTGCCAGCCCTCCCTGCTCTGCCTAAGCTCTGCTGCAGCCTCCTGACAGGATTAGCCTGAGGTTGGACAAAGAGGTTCCATGAGTCTCACCTCTTGTTCCCCCTTAGGCATGAGTTGGGAAGCTTGCAGCCTCACTCACGCCCAGAGCCCCAGGCTGAAGCTCTGAGTCTCAGCTGGTGGTGACCCAGCAGCTCCAAGACTCTGCAGGATGCCCTTGTGCAGGTGTCTTGTGTGGCACTTAGGGATGGTGACTAGATCTGGAAATCCATGTGGCAGGATGCGAGCGAGTGCCTGCCCTGCCCCTCTGTCTTCACAGCTCCTGGGGCTGTGAGGATGGTGGGAAGTCAGGCGAGCACAAATGCCTGTCCAGCGGTGGCTGCTGGGTGCATCGCAGAGCCTTTCTTAGATGCATGTGGCTGCGTAAGGGCATGGAAGCCTGTGTGTGCTCCGTGTCCAAACCAAGAGGGGAAGACATGGGCTGCAGACAGAGGGACAAAGACCGGCAGGATTGGGTCCTCTGCCAAGCTAAGAGCTCCATGTGCCTGCTCCTCTTGCTTTCTG